TGTTTTCCTTCTTGAATTTTAATCTTTCTCAGCAGATGGTTTCAAGTTGGCCTAGTACATTCACAAATATCACACAGCATAGAAAGCCATTCTCTTTTATGAGATTTCTCAAATGAGCACACATCCAGATGACACAGAAACCACAGACAATACAGTCAGGATAGACTGATAGATATCAGAAGAGGGTCAGAAGCTGCAGGCACATCCCATCCCCACCTCACATAGGAGAATTAAGAGAGTTCTAAGCAAAGAGACCCTTTGGGCTCCCTTTGACATTGATGGAAAGATGCCAATTAGTCTGGGACCGACGTTTTCTTCTAGACAGAAGTCTCTGAAAATGCCATTAATGCAGGCAGGCAGGGGGTATAGAGCGGGGGCGGGGAGTTGATTGCTGGAATTCCATAATTAATTGTGTGGCATTTGGAGTAGTGTGACACAAGGTCTCCATTCAGCCCTCACTCTCTAGGGAGAGATGTCATTGTTAGAATTCATAGAATGCAAGAAGAGTTGAAGAACTATAAAGATCATACGGTTCAGACACCCCAATTAACAGGTGAGGAAATGGAGACCCCAAGAGGGGACATGACAAGCCCAAGGCCACAGAGCTAGTTAGTGTCAAGAGCTGGGCACGACCTTAGATTGCCTGACTTCTATTCTAGTGCCCTTTCCATTCTACATCTGTGTAACAACTGCACATGAGAGAATGCCTCAGAAGCCTAGTCACCAAATGGCAGTGCAGAGTTTCATTATAGCAGAGGAGAGCAGAAAGGTCAAAATAATATAAACAACCTCCCACTCCCACACAATTATTTTAATGATGAAAAAATTCCTAAACAATAGGGGGTGGGGAATTCATCTGCTAAGAACAGGCATTAATTGGATTGTTAACTCTGGTGTTTCACAGACATGGAGACTCCTAACATTGTAAGACTATTGTTGGAGTTGGAAGTAGTATTTGGACATCATTGAACTCAAGCCTCTCAGGCATAGATGATGAACCCGAGCCCCAGAGAAGGAGCAACTTAACCAAATAACTCAGCTAATTAATGGCAAATCTGGGCAGAGGACTTCAGGCCTCAGGCTTCCAACTCAAGTATCCTCTTACCTACATCACAGTTTCCTTTTAAGAGCTGGGCAGGCTGAGGGTGAAGAGGTCAATGAGAGATCATCGAGGCCAGCCCCGCATCTTTTCCTTAGAGAATGACTTGAAGTAGTCCTTTCTCCAACAAGTAGCTTTAGAAGGGTAAAGTGCAAGGTGAAATTTCCAAACTTGAACTTCTATGAAGGAAAAGACTTCCCAGTTGTTGCTTAAGAGCCAGGGCAGAATGGGCTTTAGATGAAATCTCTTTCACAGGATTACTTTTCAGAAGGCAAACTGGAAATATTTCAAAGAGGAACAGAGATGCAGTCAATCTTGTAAAGTACCTAGGAGCCAGGCATTGTGTTAGGACTATGTTATAAAGAGGCCTAAAACAACATCTCTGAAGAAGCACACAGTCCGTTTAGCCAAAGAGGGGCAGACCTTTGAGGAGGGCTTAATGTGCTTGACAGAGAAAGTGATGTTTGAGCAGGAGGAATTTGTTTAACAGATATGGGAAAAGGGGCATTCTGGGCAGGAGCAACATGTATAAGCACTGAGAGTGCCCTACATTCATGTCATGTTCAAAATTGTCTTCAATAAATCCACCTAGGAGGTAAAAAGGCACAAATCACCACCCCTTACTTGAACTGACAAACAGTATTTCACCTGATCCTATGAAGCTGGTATCTGTGATTGGCTTTGGTGAGCCAAGACCATGACTTGTTTGCCTGGCAGTTTGATTTTGTTTCTCCAGAGACCCCGCACTCAATTGCGCTGCACACCAGGTTGCTGCTAGCCTCAGGGGAAGTCATGGTTTAGTCTTGTAAATCCTATCAGAGCCATGGGGGAAATCCTATTCTAAAACAGTCAATTCTTAAATGCTAGGATGATGTTTCAGCATTAACCTGTTCTACTTGTACAAGATACAGGTTCCTTCCATTCATGTCCAATGTAATGTGACTCTGGGGAGCTGCTATTTGAAGAAAGTAAATGTAAGTTTTGAGTTCAAAATTACTTTTCAAATCACCCACCCTACACTAACCAATCCTTGTGCTCTCAGTCCAGCAGTCTGATGGCACTGTGATTTTTCTGGGCACTTTGGCCTGCTCTAAGCATGTTCAAAATCAAGAATATGGGTTGCTGCTGGGGTGCTTTCTTTCATTTCTCCTAATTTTATTTCCTACACTTAAACAACCACCAACATGAAAGGGATTTGAAGGGAATTATTTTTCCCCAGAAAGAATTATGAAAAAAAAGGAGAAGAAATCTAATGAGGAATACATTTCCACTTGCAACCTGCCATCTTTCCATAGTGAATGAATATGTTGCAAGGGATATAACTCAAGAAAAAGTCTGCTGAGGTCAGGAAAGACACCTTACCCAAAAGGCCAATGGCCATAGACATGTTTAAACTTTCTCCCTCCTCCTGCGTCTCATCCTCAGTTTCCATTTGTGGGTGACTTACTAGGATTTGCAAAAAGGGTAACTACTTGTGGCTCTGTAATGATTTCTTACTGTAGGATGATTCTCATTGATTGTATCAAAGAGAGAAAAGGAAGAGGTAGAGTATAACACCCAAATTGAGAGGGTTAAAAAGAAAATGGGAATCAGAGAGTCAGTGTGTGTTCTAGCCCCTAATTTTGGTTCCAGTCTGAGCCTTAGGGCAAGTTCTTATTTTTTTTATCTATTTACCCAGACCAAAATGGGTTTCCACATTACCCTTTATGTCCCTGGGGTGTTTCTTAGGCTAAAGAAAGATCTAAGAGACAGCTGCAGAAATGCCTGTTGTATCTTCACGTTTTGCATGAAATGGACAGCCTGGAGGAATATGGAGTAGCTCAAACCCTGACACATCCCATGCCAACTCTGGAAAAGGCAACCAAAAATATACACAGGGTCAATTTCATGGGTCATGCTTTCTCATCCAACGGGTAAAATATTTAATAAAAGAATGGCATGTCGCTGATGATAAAAGATAGAGTGATTTATTCATAAAGAGCATGTCTCCTGGAAGTAAAAATGGACTCAGACCAGGAAGTCTTAGGACCATTTGGTAAAGAGTCTCCACCAGGCGTCTGTAAGATGGCTGGCTATATTATGCTTCTCAGCATCTACGGGAAACAGGGACAAAGTCCAACTAGTATGTAGCTGGTTGTGTGGATGACAAAAAGTGGGGAGGTTTGTTCAGCATCTGACTTCTATAAAAAATAAAGAAATGAGAAGAGAGCCCTACTTTAACACCTGGAAACATTTTCTGGAGCTTATTGATTGGCTCCTTATGGAAAACAGTTTGTTTAATAAAGACCATTGGAAAAGAGCAAAATGCATGAAGAGAAGGATATGTACAATACTTATAAATATTATCCCTTAGCAAATACTGGATGTTCCAGTACCTAACTCCTGTTTTTTCCATGAAATATGTTCACCCAGCAGAACTGAAACAGAAGCCACAATTTGCAAAACTATACTGTAATTCATAAAACAGATCAACTGCACCAAATCATAAATATGGAAGAAAACTATATATACTCAAATTCTGTTTTTTAACATCAGCCTATTGTGACCCAGACATTGTATGTGACTACAGAAAAGCTGACCTTACAGAAACCCTGCACACACTCAGATGTTCTAAAGATTAGATCACTTAGCGAGCAACTCCATAATTTATGAATTCTAACTAATCCCTGACAAGACCATCATATGATTAACTCTAGTCCCTTGAAAATCTGTAGGAATGTTTCCCTAACTTCTTCCTTTTGAGGTTCTCCACAGTTTCCCAGTGTGTGTTTCTACGTTGCTACAGTCAAATTGAAGTTTGACTGCAGGAGTGTTCCTGGGGCTCGTTGGCTGGTGGACTTAAACACTAACGGCTCTAGAAACTGACTCAGGGGCTGTTCTTGGAGAGAGATGAATGGCTCCAGTCAATTCTCTTCCTTTTCTCTCATTAGCTCAGTCTGCCTTTGCATCCGGTCTTTGTCATATCAAGAGAAGTTTCCATGCCCAGTTTTATTTGGCTCAGCCAAGTTCTTCTGTCAATTATTCCTTAGCTAAAGTCAAGAAGACTTTACCACCTCACTAATTTTCTAGTCTGAGGACACATTACCTACCTCATTTTTAATTCCATTTTTTCTTCTTATATTTGGAAGATGGGTTGATATTTGCAAAAGAAAAGAAGAAAACACAAAAGGTCTCTTTGAAACCTCTGAGTTCTGACAGACAGAAGCTTAGCCTCTGAAATGGCCCCATGGTCTACTCAGTTCAAGAGTGCATTCAGGAGGCCAGGCCAGGCCAGGACACATGGGCCTGACTCGTCAGGATTCTTGGATGTGGCTTTTCTTGACCAACATCTGAAAACTCTGATTTATAGCCCTGATCCCCCAGCTCACTACCAGTAATGTCAGCTGAAATACTCCATTTATTCAACAATTACATACAAAGCCTCGGATGAGGTTCTTTGAAAAGTAACTTTCATTGTTTTATGTTCATAATATGTGCTACTGAATATTTAGAATAAACGGATATTAGTATCTATACCTTGCATGAAAAGAACAATAAAAATAACTGCATTTAGGTAAATAAAGAAAAAAATAAAATCTTATCATCAAACTATAACCAGTAGCTTTCTTTTGACATATTAACTTTCCAGACTTTGTAAATGTGTCTAGTATCTACACACATAGTTTTAAAATAAAATTATGCTTACCTACAAGAAACATTGAATCCAATCTGTATATGGTAAAGACAACATGGCTTTAACAGATTTCTGACTCTCAGTTTACCTAGATAGAGTCTTATCTTTATTAATACAAATAATGCTATATTTTACAAACCATTTTAGCATTTAAAATAACTTTCACATATGTTATCAGATCTGATTTTCACACTACCTGTAAGAGACAGATAAGCGATTAGGTATTGTTTTTATTTGTACTGTGAAAAAACAGCTGCCAGGCAAGACGGGGACTGAATGGAGTGTTGTTGGATGTAAAAGGTGAATGTCACATGGCTATGCAAAGTCAGCTGTTAGAGAAATAGGCCAAGAGCTTCAGAGTCACACAAAGGGACATTTGCATTGTCCAAACTTTACTGTCCAAAATTCACAGGTTCAGGGGCCTTACCTTCTCAGTATTTAACTCTGGAATGATCTGACTCAGGGATAGTGGCTTATACAAAGGTCACTTAGACTAATATCTAGAATCCCAACCGTAATGTCTTAACTTATCATAAGAAATAAGATACAGGTGGGCTACACATTCACCTTGGCTGATCAACACTGCCATTCCCTGTAAGCTAGACATATTAGAAGGCTTCTCTTTTTTAGTTAGCTTGGAGAACACTGAATGAGAAGGATGATTGTCAGTTATGTATTCCAGGGTTTAATGTGTGCCTATCGTGACCTGCCACAACCCATGGACATCCCTCCACCCTACTTCAACTCCTATCCATGCACAGAGGACTGCTCTCACTCTTGCTTCCCCTGCCTTATTTTGTTCTCTAGATTGATCTACCTTGTTTTCCTACCTCCTTTCATCAAACAGGCCAAACTGGAATTAATTCTATATCAGTTTATCAAATTACTATCATATCCATGCCTGCATCCTTAACATTGCAGCAGATCATGCTGGGTTGGGTTCAAAGTATTCTCAAATTCTTTAGTCACACATTTATATACAGTCTTTTGGTTTATTTCTACAAATAGTTCATCTTCTACCTAGAGTGCGGATTTTACTAGTTTAGACAAACAGTGTATATATACTCTATGTTAGCCCCCTGGCTTTTCTTGGGATCAATATGCTCCTGCCTCAAGACCTAGCATTTGCTCTTCCCTCTGCCTGGAGACATTTTCCCTGCCTCTTTCAGATCTTCATGCAAACGTCACCTTCTCATGAGTCCTCCCCTGATGCCTTATAATATTGCCAAACTTCCCCCATCATAAAAGTGATGTCCTCCTTCCTTGATTTATTTTTCTCCTTAGCCCTAATCATTAACTTATATACCATGAATGCTATGTATTTATTAATCTTGTGTTGTCAGTGAAAATCCACTAGCATATTTGCTCTGTGAAGGCAGGGATTTTTGTCTGATTTGTTCACTGCTACATTTCCAGCTTCCAGAAAAATGCCTAGCATATAATAAATGATGAGTATATATTTATGAAAATCAATGGATTGTTCTCAACTCTGACGTTAAAATCATCTGGGAAACTTTGGGGATATCTTGACCCCATCTCCCAGAGATACCAACTTAACTCGTCTGAAGTGGGACTCAGGCATTGAAAGTTAAAAAAAAAGAAAAAAGAAAAAAGAAAAAAAAATACCTTGCTAGATGAATCTAATGTGTAGCAGGGTTGGAAATCAATCATTTAAACTCTCAGAATACTTTAAATTCCCTTCAGTTTTTGGAGGAAGTACATACCATTACCCTTATATACCCATAACGTTGAACTCTACCCTGAATTTTCTGACTTCTCTTCATGCCTGACCAGACAAAGAACATAGAACAACATTTGGAAAATGTATGCATTTTATTTTGAGTAACTGACTCCTATAATATAATAAAATGAAATAAAACCCCAGAAAAGAGAAAATTTTCCAGAAATTTCTGATCTGATAAGAATGACTAACACTTATGCATAGGGAATTTCAAAGAGAGGAAGTAAAATTCCCTAGGGCTGAAAATGTTTCATATTACTAAGGCTCTCCATGGACATATTCAGGCTCATTAAAAAAAATAATAAAGTTGCACTTGTAGGCTGGGTAAACACATGGAATTTCAGAACCTCTTGTTTCTGAGATGTAGGCCTCCTACTGGTCCCCCCCAGAGTACCCTTCTAGCTATCCTAATTGATGTAAAACTCATTAAGCCATAATTGCTGTGTAGCCTGGTGCTTGAGAAGGTGCTTGAATTCGCACCAATAAGTAATTTTGATGCTCACCAGTGCTCCCTTCTGGATGGAGAAAACCATTTCTTGGCCACTTCATGCTGAGCAGAGTCCATGAGCTAAAATTAGGATTAGAGTTGCCAACACGTGGCATCATTCTTTCATTCATCAGTTATTTGCTCTCAGAGATCTGACAATGTCGTCAGAGCAATTTTGTTCTTGGCACATTTCAGAGGCAAAAGGGGACCCAGCGGACCCTACCAAGGTAGTAATTTTCTAGGTAATCATCCTAATGTCTTCATCCTGAATGCATTTGTATGAGTAAGTTAATTAGGGAAGTTAATTTTCACAAATGGCACCAAAATGCCTATTTGTTGGTGATGCTGCCTTGTGCCAATGCCTGGCTCAAGGTATCCAGAAAAGACAAGTTGATGTTCTGCATCCATTACTGAACCTCAGCTTGGACCAGGAAGAACCACATCTGCCAGCTTGGCAGATGTGACCAGGGCTTGGCGTTTTCTAAAAGTTGAGAAAGAGAAATTCTAACCTTGCCACCAGCAGAAAAGTATGGAGGATGCCTTCTGTCCATCCTTGACATTTCTGCTTATAAAGAAGGACGAAAGGAATGGCTCCATGTGGGGGTGACCCCAGACAGAGAAGGCCTCAGCATGTTGCTAAATCAAGTCAGTGACAGGCTCCAGCTGCCTGGATTCTTCCTGAGCAGTGGCTTTCTCTCCCAGTCACTCTGAGGCTGCGGGGATAAGAGCTACGCATCACAGCACGTGGGATCTTTAGGAGCTCATGCTTTTCATGTCTGCAATCTGGTGGCTCTGGAATAGGACCAGAGTAACAAAGCTACCTCTTCTCTCCAGGAGAAAATATGTTTTTCTCATGTGAAGGTAGAGGAGAGAAAGAAGAAATGGAAAAACTCCCACACTGTTAGTAAACTGTGGGCGCAACTCAGCTCTCAAAAAAGAGGAGAAACGGAGTGGTGAGGTGAAGCCAGTTCTCAGGGACAGCAGGAGCCAGTCAGCTGCAGGGATAACGGAAAGCTGGAGTTCACACCCAACTAGAAACATTTGTTTGGGGTATTCTCTGTGGATCTTCTGGGCCAACTCACTCTGAAAGAAAACATATTATAGTCAGAAAAGAACAGTCTGAGTTTCTATATTGATCCCTAATGAGTTCTGTCACCTTATGTAAATTTCCACCTTGCTGACCTATTTTTTTATTTTGGAAATGAAAGTATGAACATTTATCTCTGAAGACCAGTGGAAAGATTACATCAAATAGCTTCTGCTCTGCACCTTGCACATAGTAGGTATTTATAAACACTGCTTCTCTTCTGCTGCATCTGGAATCAAAAGACATTTTATCCTTCCCTTTGTACATTTTCATCCTAGTAAATTATTAGAATGAAGAATCTCTGACTTCTGCCTCAATTCTGATGGGCTTTGCTATGAAGTAACATTTCATTTCTGCCACATCTAAATGTCTGATTGTCTTGACTTTGAGACAAAAAGGTGGATAAATCTGTTAGTAATTAGCATTAACTGGTAGAAATCTGGCAAGGTAGATTTTCCTGAGATGGACAAAGAATTTTATGAAAAGAGAAGAATCAGGCCGGACGCGATGGCTCACGCCTGTAATCCCAGCACTTTGGGAGGCTGAGTCGGGCAGATCACAAGGTCAGGAGATCGAGACCATCCTGGCTAACACAGTGAAACCCTGTCTCTACTAAAAATACAAAAACTAGCCAGGTGTGGTGGCGGGCGCCTGTAGTCCCAGCTACTCGGGAGACTGAGGCAGGAGAATGATGTGAACCCGGGAGGCGGAGCTTGCAGTGAACCGAGATTGCATCTCTGCACTCCAGCCTGGGCGAAAGAGCGAGAGATTCCGTCTCAAAAAAAAAAAAGAAGAATCAGTTTTACCTTTGTGCAGTGAAAAACATATATACCAGAACACATGACTGGCAACTGTATGAAAACATTTTGGAGGACAGGAGGAAAACTGCCTGGCAGAGATAATTGGAAGCCAGATGTATCTTGTCAAACACTACATTCCCAAACACTCCAGCACTCTGTGAAGTGTTTGAAATAGCGGGTCTCCAGGACTCCAATGCCCACACTCCCGTCTTCTGATTGATACAAAGTTTTCCTTTCCTGGTCCATCATTTGGAGACTCACCAACTTCAAAAACACAAACAGAGAAGAGCTGCCCTTTGAATAGAAGCCCTGAAAACATACTGTTTTTTTTATATGTATATTATATGATAGGAGAAACTTTGAAAGTGGAACAAAGGCAGGAAACAAAAGTTTTCCTGTTCATGCCAAACATTACTGAAAGAATTCCAAGCAAGAAAGGTCCATTTTTTTTTCTGTTTATATGCTTTGTTTTTTATTGTTTTGCCTTACTTCAACTCTCTGAACAATATTTCCCGAAATATTTTCTCTCTTGAGGATTGGAGTCGTGGAAATTGGTTCCATAGTTCTGGGTGCTTTAACATGGGATGTTTTACAAAGCTTCCAAAAGTCCTTGACCCAAACATTATGAAAAATTATTAAACTCTCACCAGGGTAGTTTCCTTTCAAGGTAAGCATTGCTCTTTTCCTATATGTATTTTTTAAATGCCCATATTGCTGGAAAAATTCAGTGACTGTTTTAAGAAAGAGGAAATACAAAGACAATCCATTCTGTGTCTTTTCTTTTCTAAGGACGTTCCATATGCTTTTTATTTTACCTTCATGACATCCTTGTGGAGAATATTTTCTCCATTTTACACAAGAGGATGTTTAGGTGAAGAATGATTTGCTAACTTGGCAACACTGTCCAGCTCAAAAGTTAGGGAGGCAACATTCAAACCTAGGTCTGCTCAACCTACATATCATACTTATTACCATTATTTAGCGGGACCTCCCAGTGAGGTCCTAGGTACTTGATCACTGGGAAAAGTGGAGGAAGAGAGTCAAGCAAGAAGACAATAAAGGCACATTTTGTCTACAGCACCTTTACAGAAGCTGCCCAGCTCCTTGATGTAATTATTCCTAAGAAGGTAATAACCCCAGATCAGAACTTCGGAGGATATCTGTGATAGAGTAAAATAGGGGACCTTAAAATGGGCTTTCTATTTTTTCCAGGAGCAAGAATTGTTATAGCCTATATCTATTCACATATTTGGTCAACATTTTTGAGTACATGCTCTTTTCCAGCATATACTAGGAGTTAGGAGCAATTCAAAGATGAGTAAGATGTTCATCAAATCCTCAAGAGAAAGGGACTAATAATTTAGTGAGAAAATGCTCCTGTTGGAGACATACACACAAAATGACAAGCCTGGATATAAAACGAATAACCACCATAATAAAATGATAGATCAAATGCCATCTATTAATAGTTAAGGGAATGGAGAGATTATTATAATTATCAGGGTTGGCTTCATGGAGGAGATGGCACTTTATCAGGGATTTGAAATACAGGTAAAAGTCATATACATAACGATGGGGTACAGAGCAAAGGCACAGAGAGAAAAACATTGTCACATGAAGTCATTAATCACTCTATTCTCTGCCTAGATTCTTTCTAAGGTCTAGTGTTATGGACCATGAGGCCTGACTCAAAAATGTCTTCTCAATAGATTTCTTTCTTACCTTTGCAAAATCCTTAAAAAGTAGGTGCACGTTTTAGATTTAAATGGATAAAGATGTCAAATGTTGACACACACACACAAAAACAAACAGGAAACTGACACATAAATTCTGTGTTCAGTAAATGCAGGACATCTGCAATTTACAACCAGAATATGTGAAAAAGAAAAGTAAATGAAAGTAGTAATAAATTTGAAACTCAATTACACAGAGGAGACAGGGGTACCAATGAGATGCAAGCCACCTCACCCAACAGAAACCCAGAAAAATGCAGAATGGTAAACAATAGATAAAATGAACTAGAATAAGGTGTCAGATATAAATCAGGGAAATTCACTGAAATTCTGTTTGCATGCTAGGTCCCCATCCTAACCCTACCCAGCCAATCAATGATTTCTTCTTCATCCACGACAGATCAGAAGACCCTTCTTTTAAGTAAATCTGCAGACTTGGAATAAAGACCTCTAGATGCTAATATTTGAGGTTCCTTAATATAGGATACCCTATAGTAGAGCCTATCACCAGTGTGCATGAAGTTTTTTGACAGTTACTTTTAAACCTATCATTTTTAAATAAGCTTTTTAATGCTTCAGTCATAAGTAGGAAAAGATGGCTAAGTGTCATCTATCGTGAGAGGCATGACCAAATAATCAGGAAATAAGGAACTTGGTAGAAAGAGAGAGAAATCAGGAAACAGAAGAAAATGTTAAAATAAGTTATGATTAATATTCCCAGAGAAATTAAGGAAGATACTGCTTCCATGACAACGGAACAGCTGCAATAGTAAAGAAAAAGAAGGAAGGAGGGTAGGGAGGGAGAAAAAGAAAAAGGGGAAAGAGGAAGAAAAAGAATAGGAAAGAGAAGAATCCTGGAACAAGAAAGGCTCCTGGATATTAACAAAACAATAGTTAATTTAAAATAAAAACACTTAAATAGAAGGATTGGAGGATAGAGTTCAGACAATATATAAGAAAGTAGGACAGGCTGGGTGTGGTGGCTCACGCCTGTAATCCCAGCACTTTGGGAGACCCAGGTGGGCAGAGCACAAGGTCAAGAGATAGAGACCATCCTAGCCAACATGGTGAAACTCCATCTCTACTAAAAATACAAAAATTAGCTGAGCATGGTGGCTCGTGCATATAATCCCAGCTACTCGGGAGGCTGAGGCAGGAGAATCGTTTGAACCCGTGGGCAGAAGTTGCGGTGAGCCAAGATAGCGCCACTGCACTCCAGCCTGACAACAGAGCAAGAGACCTCATCTCAAAAAAAGAAAAGAAGAAGAAGAAAGTAGGACAAAAAGATAAAAATATTGTCTATAGAAGTGATCAAATTTTCTCAAATGAGGTAAGTAAATAGGGAACTCTAGAAAACAAAGGAAATCAGAGGGAATAAATAAGTAATATAATTTATTCCAGAATTCAAGCAGTTTTTATTTATATTGAAAAATATATTAAGACCAATGAATGAAAGAGCATATCACAGAGTCATAGTAGCATCATGACATTTTACAACATTACCAAAAAAAAGATCCTATAAACTTGAAGCGATGGAGAAAAAATTATATTCAAAGGATTCAGGACCTGAATGACACCAGACTTCTGAATTTTAACAGAAGTCAGAAGATACTGAGCAGTACTTTCAAAATTCGGAGGGATAAGGACTCTCCACTCAAAATGCTCAATGTAGCTAAATGAGAAATCAAGTGTAAAGGTAGAATAAAGACATTCGCAAACATGCAGGGTCTTAAAAATGTGTTTCTCATGCATCCTTTCTCTCAGGAACATTCGAGAAGATGGGCTCTTTGAAAGCAGGAAAGGAAATTGGGAAAGAAGGATACACGGAAGCTAAGAAATAGAGACTTTCGTATAGAGTAGAAGTGAAGGAAAGTCCCAGGAAGAAAGTGAGCAGAATTTCCAGGATGGCTGTTGCAGAGCAGGCTTGGTGACTAAATAATCCAGATTACAGCAGGAGTCCAGAGAGACCCAGAAGGGATATTTCCAGGAGACAAATAAGAGTAAAGGAACTTATGGATCATCTCACACATTTAGTGGCAGAAAATTGCATTCAGAGGCTAGTGGAGGTTATTCAAAGACATAGTCAAAATTTCAAGGAAAAACAAGCAAATGAAGGGAAAAAATCAGGCAATTCGTCACTGTGATATGACTGTACTGGTAAGATGGAAGAACAGGAGGCATTCTAAGAATGCTATATTCTCTATACCCTAAAACCAGGAATGGGAGAAGAGAGGAGAGGAAAAGGGATGGTGAAAAGAAAGAGGAAACAGAGGAGAAGAAAAGAAAAAGAAAACCCTAAAAACAACAACAAAAAAAGACAACTTAGAAGTTGTTGCCTCTCGAGAGCAGAAAAAGATGGATGGTGGGGAGACACTGGCCCCCCCAAAAAACCTTTAAATTATGTCTATGTTTTGATAAAATAAATTAAAATGTCCAAAGACTAAGATTTAGAGTTAGGTTTATATAAGCATGAAGATGTGAGGTTAGTCTAAAAATTCCCCATTCCTTCCCACTCCAAATAAACAGTTAAAACATGGTTTAAAGGAGTACCTAATAAAGTGCTATCTACCCATGGGGAACAATAATTTCTGGTTTAAGAACTGAATTGAGGCTCTTAATTTCTAAAATTTAGCACACAGATTTTAAAATGTTACTGTATGTTTCATACTAGCTCATTCTCATGCGTACTTACAGTTGAAAAACATCTATTAGCATTGAGGAAAGCTCAGAATTGATTGAATGCTAAGCAAATACATATAATTGAACATTGTGTGAAACTAAGTACTTATCCAGTGAATAAAATCCACAGTTATGACAACAACGTTAAACTGGTTCATGATGCAATTTCTGTGTACTTTTCTTCTCAGATTGTTTAGTAACGCATAAGAAATAAAAATGTTTACGTAAGTAAGGCTGTTCTTAAAGATTTAGGTCTAAGTATAATCATCCTGGCACTGTTTATAACAGTTAAAGATTGAAAGCTACTTAAAAGACAGTCAGTGGAGTATTGGTTGAATTATGTGATGTATTTTTATAATGGAATATACCCATCTGATACTTACAAACACTATTGGTTACTAAAACAAAAAATATGTTTATGATATTTTTAACAGAAATAAGCAGAACTCCAAACTCTGATTCAATGTGTTCCCATATTCAATATCCTTTGCTTTATTTACATATTTTTACTATATTTTACCTCAATTAGAATCCTACTCTATAACCTACTGACTATGTGTTTGAAAGTTACTTAAGGCTTAAATTTTTTGCCTTCAATTCGTTATGTGTAAAGTAGGAATACTAATAGTACCTACACCATAAGGTTGTTGTGTAGAGTAAATGAATTAATATACATTAAATGCTTTGAACATTTCCTGGCATATGGTAATCACGATCTGTCAGTTGCTGATGGTCTTATTAGTAGCAATAGAAGGAGATGAAGTACCATTATATGGGCCATCAATGGTTATCTCTGGAAGGTGGAATTCTGGGGATCTTAGTTTCTTTCCTTGGCTAACAAACTTTTTACAATAAGTGTGTTGCTTTCTTGTAAGGAAAAAAAACAGATTTTAGTAATAATTTTAAAAACATAGATTTAATAATAGAAAAAATAAGATGATGCTTCTCTCACTGATAGTCTCATAAAAAGTGGGAGAACAATTCTATTTTTTTCTTCTTTAAACAATTCTCCCATTAGTGTGTTGACAGTGTTACTCAACAGATTTCCAGGGATCTACAGATAGATTTTTGATGGTCCAAAAGTTTTCTTAAAGAATATTTTAATTTAGATTAGTTTAATTCTAAAAAATTACCATGAGCATATCTGGATCTTCTGGATGCTACACATACACACAAACACTGCCAAGTGATTGCCGCACATCGTGACTGTCTCAGGGTAAGAAAAGAACCGTCTTAATTATAATGATGTCATTTTGCCAAATAGGGTTCCATTGACCTAATACCACATTGAAGGAATGAAGATTTTGCTGTGTTGTATACTGAACAGAAGAAAGTGGTGTAAGAAATGAATCATGCCAAGCTCCGAATCTCAAAGGAACTGAGATCATAGCACTCCCATATCTGTGATGTGGTTTGCTTTGGCAAACATCATACATCACAATAAATGTAAACGATTAATTCCAATTTTACAGCGTTTATACTATTTTTACATTTAATTTTATAAATTCATTTGCGATTTATAGTGGTTTAAGGACCTGAAGCTTTTATTAGGAAATTATACTTAGTTTTATGTTTATATGCTTAAGTGACATAATAAAAATAAACAGTGTTTATGAGAAATATTTTTTCTCTAAAGGGGGTACATGCATTCAAGTTGATAAATAATATACTGTGTAAGCTTTGACTAGAATAGAATTTTAATTTAAATTAATTCAAATATTTAAAAATTCTTATTATAGTTCTAACACTGGGCTAGCACTCTGGGTATGACAGAAAGCATTTACGCTATATTCTGGTTCTTGATGGTTTCACAATTTTTAAGACATTATTCATGAAACTATTAATATTAAGTAGCAAAATAAGATAGCATGTGGTGAAGTACCTGGAGTTGTTCAGACAGTAAGTGTCTAAGAGTTTAGCTCAGAGAAAAAGCCCAGAGGGTTGGAATGGTGAGGGAAGGCTGCCAGGCGGAGTTGGGACTTTAACTTCTGGTCTTGAGGGAGAAGCAGGAGGGATTCCAGTCAGAGGACTCTCATAGAAAAAGATAAGGGGTAGCAGTGAAGGTGTCACATCCGGCATGGGTTTGTGAAGGAATAGAGTGGGAACCATGTGCGTGACCTTGGAGCAGGACACAAGGAGCCCTTAAAAGTTTATCAAGAGAGTAATACAGTAAAAGTGACATTTTGAAAATCACTCTTCTGAGAGAAGCGTTTAATAAACTCTTGCAACATGCCAAGCACTATGCTAAGCATAAACATGTTGCCTCAATGCAAGATGGACTTAGAATGGAGGCAGAAAAGACCCCAGCTGTGACAAGAATCCACATTTGAGGATCTGGGCCATGTCTGATTGCCTGTCTTGCTTTTGTTGCCCCAAACAAACAAAGAAACAACAAAAGCAGGGAAAACTGTAATAGCCAAAGTAATAACTGGCAGCTGCACAAGCCCTCGGTCAGGTCCATGTCATTACAGGAGTCCCTGGTGCCCTGCACTTCCTAAAGGCAGAAGAGCCACAGAATGGCAATGAATATGTAAAGGTGAGCCTGGGTGGTTAGGTCATCTCTTCAGCAAGGCAAGACAGAAATAAAATCAGAACAGGGGGAATGTGTGTGTGTATGTATGTGTTGTGTGTGTGTGTCCGGAGGAGTTGGTGCGACGTGTCCAGCTTGTCTTTAGACAGGGGTCCTGTATGGTATGATCTTTACTTTAACAGGCTTACCTAGGCCATATCTTGTGGCAGCAAAGTCCTACAGTTGGAATTAGGGGAGTTTGGGGTTAAATTCCACCCTGCCTTTTACTAGCTCTATGACCTTCTACAAGTCATTTAGACTATTTTTACCTTATCTTCCTGAATCATAAAATGTAGGTCATAATAGTTCACAGAATTGGCAGGAAAAGGAAGCAAGGAATATTTTGTCAGTGCATCATATATACAACACTTACCCTTGCTCTGATGTTTTGCTTTATCACAGTTCATCAGCAGCTGTTGCAGGATCCCTGCTCTGGCTCCCAGAGAGCAACACACTTGGGTTGTGTGAGAGCCTCCTGTGTAAACAACTGGGCCATAAAACAGTGCTCACCAGCTGCCACTCATGGTTCCTTCAGAGTCAGCAGAGGTGACTAAGCCCAGATTCACTAAGAAAATGACCAGCGATTGGAGTAGGATTGTGAGTGGGGAAGCAGGCTTGGAGCAGCCACATAGAACAGCCATTCTTAGCTCAGACCCTTGGCGATGGCTGCTGGGTCCCTCCATGCCTTTTCCCACAAGCCACTGGTCTGAAAAAAGCATAGACAAGGCAGTCTGAGGTCTGGGAGTGAGGTTGCAGGGACACGTTGTATAATACTTGCCCACAGTGGAGATGAAACTGAAGCAAGAGCTCCCAGGTTGCCCAGAGAAATGAACTCATAAGTGTGTGCTGAACCCAGACATCACTCTCTGAGGCTAAGCATAGAACTGCCATAGTATGGGAAATCTCTTTTCTTTCCATCCACCTTACAGTTTTCTCTCCTATAAGCAGCACCTTAGAGCAGATATGTATTCCTTTTGCCCAGCTCACAGCCTTTCATTCTCCTGGCTTCGCCTATCTAGGAAAGGTCATTGATTTTATGTTCTATAGTTCTTCATTTGGCCCTTGAATCAGACTGATAAAAGACTAATTTTCTAGCATCAAAGATAGAGCCTAGAGCAGGTTCTTCTGTTTGAAGATAAGTAGAATTTTACACACACACTTGGACTTACAGAATATAATTAAAACATAAGAAAGCTTTCATGGCCACTCCAGATTCCTTCTGGAAATCTAATGGGGAAGAAATAGGTAGAACTTCCAACCACAGAAGCAGGTTGAGGGTTTCTACTCCAGTGGGTCACTTTCTTTTTTTTCTTTTTAACCACCCCTTTTAATTCACAATCCTTATCAAGCATAGATTGAAAAAACTAATTATCCTGAAAGGAATTCAGAGTTGGGCTCCCCAAGTACATCAAGAATGGACAGACAGCCCAAGCAGGGCCTCCCTATCAAAAGCAATTAACTAATCTTTTAAATATACATGACTGAGATTAAGTCACAAAACTTAGATTTCCAACATATCTTTGGAATTTGAATTCAAACTACTGAATTATGAGAAAGTTGCACCAGCCAGCTTTGTAAGAGCCCTAGAGGCTTCAACTACACAGCGGCCTACTGGTGAACAAATTTAAAAAAAAAAAATTAACTTCCTTGTAAAGTAAGTTTAAGTTAGAAAACTCTAGACCCCCAAAGGAGATTTTTATCTATTGAGTCTTTAATTCAGCCAACATTAATTGGACATCTACTGGTACCTGAACAACACTGAGATATGTTACTGATTAAGAGTAACTTAGTTCAGCAGTTAGTGTAAGATAAGCTTGAATCATCTCAACTAGTTCAGTTTAAGCAGTCCACCTAAACCCTTTTAATTATCCATCTTTATCAAGCACTGGATGTATTAAACCAGCTCTTTACTGCATAGTACATATGCTTCCTTTCTTTCTACCTAGAGGAAAGATGAATAAATGGTCATCTTCAGGTTATTTGAGTACGTCATTGTTCTATTTCCTTACGAATCTTCTAGAAGAATGCATATGAATTTCTCCTATATATATTGGTCTGAGAGGCTCCATCCACTTCTTCAATGCCCACATAGAGGTAAGAGATCAGCAGGACTTGTTTTCTGCACACCACTCAAGACTCTGATAATCCAAACAGGATATAGCAAAGAAACCAATCAAAAACAGTCAAGACTTGGAATTATAATGCATTTGCATAAAACACTCCCACCAGCACCATGATGGTTTAAAACTGCCATAGCAATGACCTGGAAGTTATCTTATAGGGTTCTAGGAACTCTCTGACCCTTTTCTAGAAAATTTGTAAGTAATCCACCCCTTAATTAGCATATAATTCGAAGCAGGTATAAATGTAGTTAGCCAACCATCCACAAATGCTACTTTGCCTGTGGGATAGCCCTGCTCTATTGAGCAGTCATTTTGCTACACACTGCTGCTCAAATAAACTTGCTTTCTTTCACTGCCAGCCCACTCTTGAATTCTTTCCTGAGGAAAGCCAAGAACCCTCCTGGACTAAGCTCCAATTTTGGGGATAACCTGCATCAACATGACCCACTTTCTTACTGCCCTCCACACTGTTGGGGCCAGAAATAGAAGACATGCTTTCTTACCTCCACTTTTGTAGGATTGAATGGGCTGGGGAGGCAGTAAGTGACAAACCTTAGAAAAGAAACAGAGTGAATCAGAATCTAAACTCTACTTTGTCTTCATTCTGAGAGTGGCATCTGCTGACATATCCTTCTGCTTTTCCAGATGTAGTGGTGAGAGCTTCTGCTTACACAGGAGCCCTGGGAGAGCCAAAACTCTACTGGCTGTTTATAGTTTGTTATAGGCTCCTAAAGTCAGCATTGATTCAAATCCCTTAGCTTAGCTCTCTGCTGCCTACATTTCTTAGGGAAGTGACTCTGGGGAACAGGGGAGGAATGAGCATGGAGGGAGGTAACAAAGCTATTTTAAAGTGTGACTTGGAATATATTAAGCTAGTTTATTCTGCATGGAAGAAATCTGAGAAGCATAAGTAATAAAGGAACGGGGGTGAGGATGTTATAGAAAAAAACACGTAGGCTATGCACTCTAGAAAATCTGTTCTCTAATTTAACTAGGAGAGTTAATGATTTTAATGATTTGTTGTGATCTCAAAACAACAGTTGAGATAAATCCACATCATTAAGTCTATTATGGTGTTTTGCTTCATTAAGCAAACGGTGGTGGGTTGAGGGGCTTGGGTTGAGTTTTTGAGGTTGTTTTGCTGTGAAGACACCCACATTTAAATAATAAGAACAAACTCCTGGGTCTCAGGAGTAATTGGCTCTTAAATCCTTTGTGGTGAGAAATGGAAGGATGCCCTGAAAACTTAACCCAAAAGTTTGCTCAAATGTCTTTTTTGTGTATTCAGGGCAGAAAGCAAACAAGCACAGAAAATTGAAAGTTGTTCCTCTTCTTGACTTGAGGCCCTAGGTCAGGGGAAAAGACACATGGTTCCCAGCACATTGATGCTCTGGGGAAAAGTCTGAACATACTTCCAGAATAAAGTCAAAGACCATTCCCATTGTCATGTGCAGCGAGATGTCTTATGTTTATAATGTTATTTATGTGATAAGGACACAGAACTGTCAAAATAATAACATAGTAAACTTGGTTGTTCAGAGTTCTCTATAAAATGCCATTTAAGCATATCTACAGTATCATGATTATCAAAATGTAAACAATAATTCTGAGGCACAAAATATATTCTGAAATACTTCTGAGGTCATCAGAAACCTCTATGTACATAATCTCTTCTTTGAAATTTGTTGCTTTGACTGACACTTGACTCTTTCCAAAAGGTACTGCCTTTCCTGCAGCCCTTGCAAGTGATTTAACTTAGAAAATTCTAGAAAACGGCTGGGCGCAGTGGCTCAAGCCTGTAATCCCAGCACTTTGGGAGGCCGAGGCGGGCGGATCACGAGGTCAGGAGATCGAGACCATCCTGGCTAACACGGTGAAACCCCGTCTCTACTAAAAATTACAAAAAACTAGCTGGGCGAGGTGGCGGGTGCCTGTAGTCCCAGCTACACGGGAGGCTGAGGCAGGAGAATGGCGTAAACCCGGGAGGCGGAGCTTGCAGTGAGCTGAGATCCGGCCACTGCACTCCAGCCCGGGCGACACAGCAAGACTCCGTCTCAAAAAAAAAAAAAAAAAAAAAAGAAAATTCTAGAAAACTCAAGGCCTCCATACCACTGATAACACTGTCTATAGGCAGGCCATCTGAAGTCCATGTTTCCTATTGCCACTTCCAGACCTTTAGCCCTTATATCTACATAACTCCCTCTCTCCTCTCCGGCTTTGATGGCAACACCATCAAATTGTATTATCACCCCATCCTCCTTTTCATCTAGTGATCCCAAGATGGATTAAGTCTCTTTATTCCTTGTTGGTTTTAGCCCCTGGTTTACCAATACTCTCTCTAAACAACTCCTGTCACAATTCTTCCTGATTTGAATATGCCTGAAGATGTTCCGTTCAATACTGGACTCTCAGTTCCATGACTTAATCTCTTCCATTTTCTCAGCCAACCAATCCCATGGTCATTCCCTAGACCTTGCTGTTATCAATAATAATGCACTCATATCAATTTGAAGCATCGTCTTTATCTTACCAGCATATCTTGTCTTTCCAACTCATTCTAAGTGCCTCATCTCCAGTAATTCTTCCCAATCCCATGGTCATTCCCTAGATCTTGGCATTACCAATAACATCACCTTAATATCAATTTTAAGCATCCTCTAATCTTGCCAGCATCTCTTGTCTTTCTGACTCAAGTGCCTCATCTCCAGTATTTCTTTTGTGCAAACTTGCCAAACTGTATCTAAAAATCTATCCTTCACACAAGCTTTTCAATATCTCTCACTCCCTTCATGACATCATTTCCTTTATGTAGGCATACATGCCATGATGAATAACTATAATCATTCCCTTTTGCACAATTTTGACACCTTTGACTTTCTCTCATCTTTCTTCTCTTCACCAAAATCACCCAGCAAAATTCCCACCTAAGCATTTAAATGTGTCTAGAAAAACCTAGAAGAAATGAATAAATTTCTGGACATATAACCACCCAAAATTGAACCAGGAAGAAATGGAAGTCCTGAACAGATGAATAATGACTGGCAAGATTGAATCAGTAATGTTTTAAAAATCTCCCAACAAAAAAAGAGTACAGGACCAGATGGATTTACAGCCAAATTCTACCAAACATACATACCTATTCTCCTGAAACTATTTCAAAAATAAAGGAGGAGAGAATACTACCTAACTCATTCTCTGAGACCAGTATACCTTGATACAAAAACTAGACAAGGGCACAACATAAAAAGAAAACTACAGACAAACATCCCTGATGAACACAGATGCAAATTTCCTCAACAAAATCCTACCAAATTGAATTCAACAGCACATCAAAAAGATGTAATCCTAAGATCAATTGGGATATATCACAGGGATGCAAGGATGGTTCACCATATGCAAATCAATAAATGTGGTACATCACATAAACATAATTAAAGACAAAAACATATGATCATCTCAATAGATGCTGAAAACCGCTTTGATAAAATTCAGAATCCCTTCATGATAAAAATCTTCAACATGGAATATACCTCAACATAATAAAGGCTGACATGACAAATCCCCTGCAAACATAATATTCAGGGGGGAAAAATTCATAGCATTCCCTCTAAGAACTCAAACAAGACAAGGATGCCCACTTTTACCACTCTTATTTACCATAGTACTGGAAGTTCTTGCTAGATCAATCAGGCAAGAGAAAAAAAGAAAAATGCTGAAATTGGAAAAGACAAAGTCAAATTATCCCTGTTTCCTGGTGATACCATCTTATATCCAGAAAACCCTAATGACCACCAAAAAACTCTTAGATTTGATAAATGAATTAAGTAAAACTTCAAGATGCAAAATCAACAGGCAAAAATCAGTAGCATTTTCATATACCCATAATGATATAGTTGATGAACATATCAAGAAGGCAATCCCATTTACCTAGGAGTGTATTTAACCAAAATACCTAGGAGTAAACTTAACAAGGAGGTGAAAGATCTCTACAAGGAAAAGTACAAAATACTGATAAAACGAATTGTAGATGATAGAAATGGAAAAACTTCCCATGCTAATGTAGTTTGGATATTTGTCCCAAACCAAATCTCATGTTCAATTGTAATCCCCAGTGCTGGAGATGGGGCCTGGTGGAAGGTGTTTGGATCATGGGACAGAATCCCTCATGACTTGGTGCTATCTTTGCGATAGTGAGTTCTAATGAGATCTGTTCTTTTAAAAGTGTATGGCACATCCCACCCCACTCTCTCTGTTGATTTTGCTCTGGCCATGTGATGTGTCTGCTTCCCCTTCAACTTCCACCATGATTTTAAGCTTCCTGAGGCCTCCCTAGAAGCCAAGCAGATGCCAGCACCAGGCTCCCTATAAACCCTGTAGAACCATAAGTCAATTAAAACTCTTTCTTTTAAAAACTACCCAGTGTCAGATATTTCTTCATAGTAATGTAAGAACAGCCTAAAACAGAAAATTGGTACCAAGAAAAGGGTATTGCTGTGAAGACACCTGGAAATGTGGAAATGGCTTTGAAACTGGGTAATGGGCAAATGTTGGAAGAGTTTGGAGGGCTCAGAAGAAGACAGAAAGATGAGGAAAAGTTTGGAACTTCTTAGAGACTGGTTTAGTAGTTGTGACCAAAATGCTGACAGTGATATGGACAGTAAAGTATAGGCTGACAAGGTCTCAGATGGAGATGTGGAACTTATTGGGAACTGGAGCAATGGTAATCTGTGTTATCACTTAGCAAAAAACTTGGCTGTGTTGGAACTTTGAATTTCATGTTGATGATTTAGGGTATCTGGGAAAATAATTATTTAAGAAGCAAAGCATTCAAGATGTGGCCTGGCTGCTTTTAACAGCCTCAGTTGTGGGAGCAAACAAATGACTCATACTTGAAATTTATATTTAAACAGGAAGCAGGGCATAAAAGTTTGGAAAAGTTTCAGTCTGGCCATGTGGCAGAGGAAGAAAAAGCTTTTTTGGGAGAGGGATTCAAGCAGGCTGTGGAGCAGCTGCTAGCTAGAGATATTTGCATAACTAAAAGGGATTCAAGTGCTACTAGTCAAGAAAATGGAGAAAAGTCCTCAAAGGCATTTTATAGACCCTGTGGCAGTCCCTCCCATCACAGGCCCATATGCCTAGGTGGGAAGAATGGTTTCATGGACCAGACATAGGGCCCTACTGTCTTGCATAGCCTTGGGACACTGCCCCCCACATCCTGGCCACTCTAGCTCCAGCTGTGACTAAAGGGGGCCCAGATGCAGCTTGGGCTGCTGCTCTGGAGAATGCAAACTGTAAGCCTTGGGAGCTTCTACATGGTATTAAGCCTTCAGGTACACTGAGTACAAGAGTGGTAAATTCTTGGCAGCCTCTGCCTAGTTTTCAGAGGATGCATAAGAAAGCCTGGGTGTCCACCCAGTCTCAGGTATTTCTTTATATCAATGTAAGAACAGTCTAATAAACATGCTCATGGATTGAAAGAATTAATATCATTAAAGTAGCCATACTGCCCGAAGTATGGAATCTAGAGGTTCAATGCCATCCCTGCCCAAATACCAATGCCATTTTTCACAGAATTAGAAAAAACAATTCTAATGTTCATATGGCACCAAAAATGAGCCTGAATAGCCAATGCAATTATAAGCAAAAAAGAATAAAGCTGCAGGCATCATATTCTCTAACTTTAAATTATACTACAAGGCTATAATAACCAAAACAGCATGGTAGTAGAATTAAGAATAGACACATTGATCAATGGAACAGATGAAAACCCAGAAATAAAGCCACATACTTACAGCTAACTGATTTTTGAAAAGTCAGCAAGAATATACAATGGGAAAATAATACTCCTTTCAATTAATGGTGCTGGGAAAAGTGGATTGTCATAATCATAATGAAATCAGGCCAGGTGCGGTGGCTCAGGCCTGTAATCCCAGCATTTTGGGAGGCTGGGGCAGGTGGATCACGAGGTCAAGAGATTGAGACCATCCTGGTGAACACATTGAAACCCCATCTCTACTGAAAATACAAAAAAAATAGCCGGGTGTGGTGGCGAGCACCTGTAGTCCCAGCTACTCAGGAGACTGAGGCAGGAGAATGGCGTGAATCTGGGGGGCAGAGCTTGCAGTGAACGGAGATCGTGCCACTGCTCTCCAGTCTGGGCAACAGAATGAGACACTGTCTCAAAAGAAAAAAAAAAAAAGAATGAAACTGGACCCCTATGTCATTATATACAAAAATCAACTCAAGATGGATTAAAGACTTGAATGTAAATCTTGAAATTATAATAATACTGGAAGAAATCCTAGAGAAAGATTTCTAGACATTGGTCTTTGCAAAGAATTCATGACTAAGACCTCAAAAGCACAAGTAACAACAACAACAACAAAAGTAGACAAATGGGACTATATTAAACTAAACAGCTTCTGCACAGAAAAATAAATAATCATCAGAGTGAATTGGCAACCTGTGGAATGGAAGAAAATATTTGCAAACTATACATCTGATAGCAGACTAATATCCAAAATTTACAAGGAACTCAAGCAACTCAACGACAACAGAACT